CTAGCAGTGTGATTCTGCAATAGTGCGAGCAATCAACAAGTTGCATTTTGAGTATCCCTCCTGGCCCCACCGAGTTTGAATGAAGTTGATGTGACAAATCATTCAAGTGGTTTACATTATGTTCATTTGTGTTCATGACATTGGCATCTGTAACAGCTTCCGTGATTTGTTTTAAATAGATATCACACTTGTTAAATATTTACTATTCTCCCCTTAGATGGTATTGCTGAAGTTGATTCTTTGTTTGAACTGTTTAAATAAGAATTGAATTTCACAGATTACTTAACTGAGGTTTTCTATCAAATTGTCCTTCTCCCAATGCTTGAACTTTTTTTTTCAGTAGAGGTGAAGTTGCCTGATGCCTGCAATGCTTTTCACCACCTCAGTTCAATGTTTAATATCTTTTGGCTGCTGGTTTTGATGAGCTGGATATTGTCATTGACAAGCATGTGATCTTCGCCAATTTTGTTAACCAAAAAAAATTCTGATCTTGCTGTTATTTACTATGTGATTGTACATTAACAATGACCTTAAATGAACAGGTAGGCAGCTAGACATCACACTGCTCTTAACTCAAGAATATTGCTTCCTATTTTTAAGCTAAGCACATTCATAACTTGAGTGCTTATGTGTAAATGATCTCCTGGCACCCTAATGCCTGTATACCATCTACAAGGCACAAACCAGGAATGTTTTAGAATACTCTCTACTTGGCTGGATGAGTCCAGCTGCATTTACACTTGAAGCCTGGTGCCCAAGATACAACAGTCTGCTTGAATGGCATCTGCACCCCGAACACTAAAGCTCACTACCAACTTGAGGGCAATTAGACATTAACGATAATTTACTGGCTTAGCTAGCAAAGCCCAGATCCTATGAACCATAATTTAATAAATTTCTTGTTAGACTATAAATGGCATTGTAAAAAGACTCACATTCTGAATTCTAAATTCATAGAATTCTACCATAAATTTATTTTTGGATTCGGTGTGTTAGACATTTTTTAAGGAGACTTCACTTCGTACAACCTGGAGTGTGCCTTTTACTTGGTCAGTAATAAAGGTAAATGAGCCAAATGCAGAATCTTTGTGTTTGGATTACTGGGTAGCTTGTGATCTCCAGGATGGCCTATTATCCAGTCCTCCTGTATCCGTCAATAACATGGAGATATCCATTGTAAATTGTCCAAAGCTAGAGAACATAAGGAGTAGGGCATCCAGCTCATCGAACTTGCTTTACCGATGCACCTCCACAAAGCCCTGCATATCCAGTGACAGGATAGGCACTCGAATATCAGTGTCCTTTGTCTAGCCATTATACCCAGATTTGAGATGCTAGTTCCGTTTGATCAGCTGCTTTGGATGTGCCATAATGTTCACCTATCTGATACAAGACTTCCAAAACAAGGAACTCTACTTGGAGCTCTGGCACAGCAAGCAGTTACCAGGAGGGCAGGGAAAATAAAGACTTTGTCAAAGCTTCCTTGAAAAAATGCAATATCCCCATGGCTTGTAGGAATGCCTTGACCAAGACCGCCCAAAACTGGTGAAGTATCTGCGAAAGTGCAAATCATCTCCGAACATCTACGCAAGCCATTCACCTGTCTCTTCAAACACCACCTATGGATTGGTTAAGGATGCAGCATCTTTTTGAGACCCACCACTCTAGATTGGAAGAGAGCTATTCTTGATTTCAAGGATAGAAGACTAAGAAGACGACTATTTATAGTGTTGCTTTCACTACTTCAAGATCGTTTCATAATAGGCTAAGTCTTAAATAGTCAACCAAACACTCTAAATTTAAAACCCTTAAAATTTAAAAAGGCAGATTGTACAAAGTAATATTTATTAAAAAATCACATGGCTGTATTTGATGGGCTATGCAGAGAATTTTAAAGTAGTGTTTTCCTATATAAATACAACCACTGAGCAAGTTGATTTTATCTTAAGGTTTTATGTTGTTTCCTTATTGCCTACATTTGCCATCACAATTATTTTGCATGTAATGCTGTAAGTACACACTGTCATACCCATCAACAGCAAAGGCGAATAATATAGTATGGCTTATTTAAATAGGCAGTTTCCATTATATATGTGAACATAGGAAAGTATTAAGATAATGTGAAAAGAGAATAAGCTGTTTGGAATGTTGAAATCTTGGCTGTGCCCCGGCTGAATTTTGCCTTGACGATCTAAACATGGCTCACTTGATGACCACACTTGGTTTTAATTTCTTGTTTGAGATGCCACAGGAAATTGGCTAGCAATTTGTCAAAATGCTAATTATTACTTTATTCCAGATTTTAGTGTTTTCTAAAGTAGTTATGCCTGGTCGTACCTGATACTGCAATGTATTTTATTATCTGAAAAGATGCTATCCATATTTTTGACATTTAGCTTTCAAATTTGATGGCATTCGCACCTCTTCAAACTTGTACCTCTCGGCTACTTTCAGTGCACTCATTTTTTGGTGGGAAAAATTGGGTGGTACTCTTAAAAATCCATTAATATTGTACAATTTTTTGCTTGAGATCTTATGCTCCTCTATTTTGAGGGCTGCTCCTTTTGTTACACTGTGACTGGACTTTGGTCTCTTGGTCCAGTTGTCTCATACTCTCTCGGCTTACTGCCTTCCTCATCAGTAGCTGTTAGGTGGCCTGCTGATCATTTTGTTTTGGCTTGATGTGAAACATTTCAATTTAATGCACTGTTGGAAATCCAGGCTAAATTTTGAAAATTGTGCTTAAAAGTACTAATTAGTGTATGTCGGTTAACTCATACTATTTGCTTGTATTTTAATGTAGCAATGGTACCTAAATTAAATACTTTGCACAGAATTAAATATACTTAAGGAATATTTTCAATTGTAATTTAGCATCAGTGCAAGCCATGAGGAAGAAGTATTTGCAACAGTCTTTGGCCAGAAGTGTTGAATGATTCTTCATACTAGCCTCTTCGAGTTTCCCAGCATCTCAGGTGCCAATCTTCGGCCTATTGTATTCACTCCACATGCTATCAAGAAATTATTAGAGCAAAGCTGCCTCTAAGCTGTATATGTACAGAGTCACTTCAAAGTTCTGTGCACAGTGATCGGCAGTGATAGCTGATCAAGGTATTGTCTTCCACTGCTGCACATGGACCTTGGAATACTCAGCCAGAAAGAAAATTAGTGAATGCTGGGCTGGAGGGACTGAACATAGAGTCTATGGGCTATTAGAATATTTTGGCAACAGAACTGAAGCTGTGTGCTCCAGAACTGTCCATGCTCCTAGTTGAAGTCTAGCTGCAATACTGACATCCACCTGACAGTAGGAATCCTGCAGTGAGTAACTCATCTGATATCCCAGATCCTGCCTATTGCCTACAAGGCAAAATTAGAAGTGTGATCAGGAGTACTCAGCACTTGCCTGGATGAGTGCATCTTCAACAGCACTCAAGAACCTTATTTTCCAGGACAAGTAGTCTGCTTAATTAACGCCACCTCCCAAAACATTCACTCCCTCTACTGCTGACACACATTAGTGGTAGAGTTTACAAGATGAACTTTATAAATTCCCAAAGGCCTCTTTTGACAGCACACAAATCCATAACCACTGTCATTTCAGCAAGAGCTTGCAGATGCATGGGTACATCGCATCTTGAATGTTCTCCTCTAAGCCACTCACCACTCTGACATGGAATATATATTGCTGTTCCTTCCACGATTTTGACCTACTGAAAGTGAAATTCCCTCCCTTATGTTATAGTGATGTGCAGCACTTAGCCAACGTTTGGCCCATATCCTTCTAAACCCTTCTTATTCATATACACATCCAGATAACTTTTAAATTTTGTAATTGTACCAGCCTCTGCTGGCAGCTCATTCCATACTATCCTCTGCTTGAAAAAATGTTGTCTCTTAGGTCCCTTTTAAATCTTTCCCCTCCTTAAACCTATGCCCTCTAGTTTTGGACTCCCCTACCCTGGGGGAAAAGACCATTGCAATTTACCCTACCTATGCCCCTCATGGTTTTATAAACATTCTCCCCTCAGCCTCTGACACTCTGGGAGTAAATAGCCCCAGCCTATTCAGCTTCTCCTTTACAGCTCAAACCCTCCGATCCTGGCAACACCCTTGTACATCTTTTCTGAACCCTTTCAAGTTTCACAACCCCTTTCCTATAGCAGGGAGACCAGGTCTGAATGCAGTATTCCAAAAGTGGCCTAAGCAATGTCCTGTACAGCCGAAACGTGACTTCCCAACTCCTATACTTGGTCAGTATCTCCAGTAAAGGCAAGCTGACCAAACATGTTCACTACCCTGTCTACCTGTGACTCCACTTTCAAAGAGCAATGAACTTGCTCCCCAAGGCCTCTTTGTTCAGCAACACTTCCCAGACCTCACCATTTAAGTGTGTAAAGCAAATCAGGGCAAAATGTAGCACCTCTCGTTTATTGAAATTAAAACTCTATCTGCCACTTCTCGGCCCACTTGCCCATCTGATCGAGGTCCCATTGTACTCTGAGGTAGCCTCCTTTGCTGTCCACTATACCACTAATTTTGGTGTCATTTGCAAACTTACTAACCATATCCCCTTTATAGTCACTCCTAAGTCTACCTACAACAAATAGAAGACAGCTCATCACCACCTTCTCAAGGCCAAATAGGAATGGGTAATAAATGTTGGCGCAGTCAGTGATGCCCAGTTTTATGAATTTTCTTTTTTAAAGGTCCTTTTCAATTTGCAAGAAAAGTTCAGAAACCCAATTGGAATGACGTTTTGCAATTAAGTTCCTACGAACAATATTAGATGCCTCTACTCTTGTAGCAGGTTGGCCTGTATTGTTTTTTATTGTAGAAACTTTGGCTTTGCAGTCAAGGGAAGACTTGAGATCAATATCATGAGTGTTTCAATTCTGAAACATGTATGAAGAGGAAAAGGTAAATTATCTATGTATCATGTAGTGTGGTTGTTCAAATACTTCAGATTGTGCTAATAATTTGTTTTGTTATACATTAAGCCTAGGTACTGCAGTCTCTGTAATGGCCAAGATACCACTATTGGAGTGCCTAACCAGGCACAGTTACAGAGAATGTCAGGAAAGACTGAAATTACCAACACAGAATGGAAGCACAGAAGAAGAAACTGAGGATGTGAAGTCTACCAGTTCAGCAGTTTGTTCTGCTAAACCTACAGTTAGCAGAAATTCGCCTTCTAGTTCTACATCTTTCGGATGTTCTGCACAGAATAGTGTTATCCAACAGGAAGGAAAATACACTGAGACCATTGAGGACAGAACACTGAAAACAGTAGCAGAAGATGAATTCAAAGTAGATGACCAAGCTTTTTTCAATGTTTCCTTATTGGATTGGGTTAATGTACAAGATAGACCAAATGATGTGGAATCACTGGTCAGGAAATGCTTTGATTCAATGAACCGAGTAAGTGTTTTTAAAACATAAATTTGAGCTGTTTGTTCAAATATTTGATTTAATCCAAGATTTTCAAAATAAACAAAGGTACCTTTTATTTGGTGACCTGAGGTTTTTGTTTTTTGTTTGTTTGTTTCTGATGTTTAAAGTTTGATAGTCTTATGAATTTAAAATTCCTGTGTTTGTACTTTTTTGAATTGACTTCAATCTTTGGATTTCTAGTCTGATGCCTTTGCCTCTGCAAACTTATGCAATCTTTTAGAATGACAACATTTATGTATTTCTTCATGATGTGGGCATTGCTGACTAGGCTAGTATTTATTGTCCATCCCTATTTGTCCTTCAGAAGGTGCTGGTGAGCTGCTGCCTTGAAATGCTGCATTCCTTCAGCTATAGGTACAGCCACAGTACTGAGCGGAAGGAAATCCAACAGTTAATTTGCTCGTTAGTTGTTACTCTTAACTGAATGGAAAAATAATTGAGATGGTACTAATTCAAAAGGAGTACAGCTGCAATGATCTGTGAAAGCTCCATCTAAAACTTCTTTTTATAGACCAATAAAAGGTAATAATCTAACCAAAAGCATCCATTGGTTGCAGCCAAGTTAAAAATTTACAGTTTGAGGAGCAGAGGATGTAAAAGAAAAATATCATTGACCATTTTTGAGCAGTAACTTAAATATCTCCTCATTTTTCACTTTCAGCTTGATCCAGAAATTCTTCAGCCATTTTTGGCAGAGTGTCATGAAACAATTGCCAAACTTGATAATCAGAATATGAAGGCAATTAAGGGACTTGAGGACAGACTATATGCCCTGGATCAAATGATAGCCAGCTGTAACAGACTGGTGAATGAACAAAAAGAATTAGCTCAGGTAAATCTCCATCACCATAATGTGGGCTAAAATGCAGGATGAGATACAATGCGATGTGCTTCCAAGTCTGAGTCAACAAGGGGTGTGATGTCGTTGTACGGATTGAGCTATTTATTATATTTTAACTGGTGTATTTCTGTTATGCCACACCCCTACCTAGGTCCACACAATATAAAGAAACACGATGGTTCAGGTTTCATTTTGCGACAGACTGTTCGGGAATAACTGAGTGCATGGGAATCTCGGAAACATAGGCAGTGCATCTGTCAGTAGTGTACTGATTCTGTTACTTCAGTACAGTCTCTTCCAGATTTCCCTGTAATCAGTGTGATGTAGGCTTGCATGACGTGATACCACCAGCATTTAAAGGGATGCTGGGTTGAAGGAATTTGAAATCAGAATCAAATAGAAGATGTGCCAAAATTGAGTCCTGTGACAAAAGCTAAACTTAGTGAAGTGATGGAGAGATCCCCACTTCCCTAACAATAGTGGGTAAATAGCCTACAAAGGTGCCAGACCGAAATGCATAATTAGAGGTAGCAGATGAGTTTGGCTGTAGGAGTTTTTTAATTCATTTGCAGGATGTGGACATCACCGTCCAGGCCAGCATTTATTGCCCAGAGGATAGTTGAGAGTCAACTACATTGCTGTGCGTTTAAAGTCCCATGTTGGCCACACCCCACAAGAAGTGTAGTTTCCTTGCCTAAAGGACACAAGTGATCGAGATGGATTTTTCTGACCATGAACATAGTTTCATGGTCATCATTAGACTCCTAATTGCAAAGTTTATTGAATTCTAATTCCACCATCTGCCTTAGTAGGTTCAAACCCAGGTCACCAGAACTTTAATTAGATTAGTAGTCAAGTGAAAATACCATTTGGCCATCATTAAAATTGTAGAATCCCTAAAGTACAAAAAGAGGCTATTCAGCCCATCGACTCTGCACCAACTGCCCAAAGAGCATCCCACCCAGATCTATCCCGCAGCACTCCCCCCACCACCCCCTCAAATCTCTTCCCCGTAACCCCTCACTTACCGTGGCTAATCCATCTAACTTGCACATCCCTGGATGCTACAGGGCAATTCACCTAAGCTGCTGGACTGTCCAAGGAAATCTGAGCACCCACAGGAAACCCCCTCAGCTGTGAGGAGAGCGTACAAACTCCATACAGACAAGGCTGGAATTGAATCTGGATCCCTCCAGCGATGACCTCTGACCCACTGTGCCACCCTCATCCCCTTCCTGTAGATCTATTCTGCTGATTAAAGCATTTTCAGAATTCAAGGATCTAAACAAATTAGAACAGTGAGACATTCAGCTGTACATCTAATCTCGCCACTTTGCCTCTGCCTTGTGAAGCTGACTTCAAAACATCACTCCTCAGATTCCCTTACCTTACCTTGTTTGTGCAACTTATATTGTTAAAAAATGCTTCTCATCTTTCTGTGAACTTCCATCTATTCATCCACCACTCCCTTTTACAATCATCCATATGAAATATTATGCTGCATTGTCAGTTTTTCCAAATGCATTGCACTGATCAGATAAATGCATGTAATTGCAATCACTTGTACATCTCTTCTTTGCACCCAGTGCAGGAGAGAGTAAAAGGATAAAATTATATCTAAATGTACTTGGCATGTGGAATAGAATGAATGAACTGAATATGCAAAATGAAAGTAACAAGTATAATCTGGAAATGATTAACGATATGGCTGCAGGATGACATGGAATAAAATCTGAATCTTAAGGTGTAAAGGACATTTTAGGAATGATAGCAGAGTCGGAAAATGTGGAGGAATGGCACTGTTTGCTAATTATGTTAGCACTGTACAGAGGGAGGACCTACATTTAGAGAAACGAAGATGTGAAAATACTTGGAGAAATGATTTTTGTCAAGATGTCAGTATGCTGTGTCCATTTTAAACTTGGCATATGCAAACAAGCGGTTTAGGGAACCTGGTCCCGGGAGGGGTAGAGTTCTGGATTGGCTGGAGGAAGGTGGTGATTGAAACAGAGGAAGTGGGGCATGAAGGATGATTTTGGGAACAGGCTTCTGGGCCCTCTTTACTCCTCACTCAGGAGGATATCCATTGTTGAAGCCCTTTTCAAAATCACCTGTGCTTTCCTGAGCATGTGCAGTGCTACATTTGAACATGTTACACATACAATATATCATCACAGAATTTATGCACAACCATACCGCATGCACAAATGAGCACGTGCATAGTTGTCTGCAGTTGTAAACACTGCCTGCTGTTAAGACCAATAATGTGATTTTAGCTGCCATCTTTTGCAGACTGTTTGGTGTTTGATATGTATATAATGGTTTTTACTCTGTGTGGCAGGAATGATGCAGTATTAGTTAAAGACCTTTTTTAACATGAAAGATCCTTTAGATATGAGTGATAATATGATGAATTTCACATTTAGTTTCAGGGTGACAAACTTGGATTTTGATGTATTGTCTGAAACTGAGGTATGTAGGATATGAAGACAGGACAAAAAGTGTGTTCGGAAGGGTGGTTAAAAGGTAGAGACTGTAGAGGTACAGTGGCAAACACTCTGAAGGTACACTGCATTGAGAAAGTAAGACACTGCCAGAAGGATATGTCATCCTAGGCTAACTAAGCAAGTTGAGGATGCTATCAAGTAGGAAAAAAGTGTACAATACTGTAAAGATTTGTAGTAGCTCAGAAAATTGGAAACATTTTGAGAATGATGACACAGTAATGAAGGAGAAATTCTTGTATGCGAGAACTAGCAACAAATATAATACAGATTTTAAAAATGTTCTATAAATCTTCTATATTAGAAAGTAGCTAACAATTTGCTGGTCCTTAAAGGGTGCAATGAGACTTTGAACAAATATTTTATATTTACTTTCTCAGTAGAAAGTACATAATAAGCATAGTAGAAAATCAACGCAAAAGGGAGAAAAGAGTTTAAACAGTCATTGGTTTTCCCACTATGCTCTCTCCAGTGAAACTTGAGGCTGACATGCATGATCTTTAAGTAGGTGATTGCAGAGATTGTGGAGATGTTTTCCTTATTTGTTCAAAGAAAATCTTGCTGGCTGCCCAGCTTTATTGCCCATCCCCAACTGCCCTTGAGAAAGTGGTGGTGACCTATCTTCCACTACAGTGCTCCTTTGCAGGTACACATACCCATAGTGATATTAAGAAGGAAGCCCAGGGTTTTGACTCCATGATGGTAAGGAATAGCAATATATTTCCATGTCAGTATGGTGAGGAGCTTGGAGGGAAACTTACAGTTGGTGTTGCCATGTACCTGCTGCCCTTGTCCTTCTAGATGGTAGAGGTTGTAGGTTTGTAAGGTGCTGTCAGAGGAGTCTTAGGGTGTTGTTGTAGTGTATCATGTAGGTGATGTATACTGCTGCTACTGTCCGTTGGTGGTGAAAGAGTGAGGTGTTAAAAGCGATGCATGGGGTGCCAGTTAAGTGATGATCAAACTGCATCCAGCCAGGCAAGTGGAGAGTATTCTATCACATTCCCTGTCATTTGCAAATAGTGACAAGCACTGAAAAGACCGGAGGTGAGTTATTGCCAAAGAATTTCTAGCCTTTGACCTGCTCTTGTAGCCACAGTATTTATATGGCTGGTCCAGTTCAATTTCTGGTCAGTGATGACCAAAATATAATAGGGAATTTGGTGATGCTGGTGAGGTCGCTGGCTGGCACTTGTGTGGCACAAATGTCTTACCAGCCCAAGTCTGGATGTTGTCGAAGTTTAGCTGCAGATGGATATGAACTGCTTCAATTTCTGTCGAGTTGCTAATGGTGCTGAACATTGTGCAATCATCAACAAACATCCCCACTTGGACTTTATGATGGAGAGAAGGTTATCATATATCAGTTGAAGATAGGTGGGTGAGGACAGTACCCTGAGGAGTTCTTAGCGGTCACTAGCGACTAAAGTGGTGATGTTCAACAACCACAGCCATCTTCCTTTCATACTGTGTATGACTTCGATCATTAGAGAGGTTTGTCCCAGTTCTGATATTTCCAGGGCTCCTTTGGTGTACTTTGTTAAATGCCTTTTTTTATTTTTTGTCAAAGGCAGTCAGCCTTGCGTTGTGTATAGAGTTAATCTCTTTTTTTTGTCCATGTTATGACTAAATCTGTAATGAAGCCCAAAGCGGAGAAGTTTCTGCAGGGCCAAAATTGAGCATTAGTGAGAGGATTGTTGCTGAGTAAGTGCAGCTTGATTGCACAGTCATTGACCTTTTTTTTTTTTTTCTATCACTTTGAGAATAGATTTGTTGGAGCGATTAACTGGCTGGGTTGGATTTGTCCCTTTTTTTTGTGCACAGATCATATCTGGTCGGTTTTCCGCATTGCTGGTAGATGCCATGTAGAAGTTGAAGCTAGTAACATGTCTAGTTTTGGATTGCATCTTTGGTACTATTGCTGGAATGTTTTCAGGCCTCAAGGTTCTTGCAGTGTCCAATGTCTTCAGCAATTTTTCAACATCAATTGGAGTGATTTGAAATTGTCTGAAAACCAACTGTCGTGATGCTGGGAACATCTGGCAGAAGCCAAGTTGTGTCACCACTTGCCATTTTTAGCTGAAGATAATTATAAATGTTTCAGTCTCATTTGTGGGCAGGTTTCTGTGGTCATTGCTATTGTGTGCATTCATAGAATCTGTTCCTTTGTTAGTTTTCAATTGTCCATCAGCATTTGGGATTAAATGTAGCAGAAGTGTAGTGATTTTGGTTTTGATTTGATGTGTTTTTGTGGGATTGCTTAGCGCTCTCTTTGGTATATCTTTTCCAGTCCTTTAGTATGCATCATTTTGAGTTGTAGCTTCACTAGTTTGGGAATGACTAGTACTGCCCTGGTATGTTCCTGTATATTCTATTTAGAAGAATTTTTAATTGGAACCAGCAATTTTTCATGAACTACTCATTTCTACATACCTATTTACAATACCTTTGATAGTTTTGTGGCATTTATTGGTCACACTTGATGTAAATATCAGTAAATGCACTTCTTTACAGTACATAGTCTGACATCAGCTTATAATAGTTAAATTTTTTTTTTAATAAAGCGTCTGAGGAAATGTCCTTTTGAAAATACACACTGGTTCTCTGGAATTCCTCCTTCAAATTGAGTTGCAATGAAATTTTGATGTTGAAACCTTTTGATGTATTTCTGCACAGCTTGAAAGTATTTTATAAATGTCAATCTTGTATCATCAATATTTTATTTTCTACTAACAGGGATTTTTAGCAAATCAGCAGAGGGCTGAAAACCTGAAAGACCCATCTGTTCTTCCTGATTTATGTCTGAGTCATGCAAATCAGTTAATGATTATGTTAACAAACCACAAGAAACTGCTGGATATTAAACAGAAATGCACCACTGCTAAGCAGGAACTTGCAAATAACTTACAAGTCAGATTGAAGTAAGTATTATTTATGTTTGAGATCAAAAGTTTTTTATTAGAATCTTTGGAAACTAAGTAGAAATGAGCAAATTCTCATAACAAAAAGCATGATTTTTACTTCAAAGCTTTGTTGCTAGAATGTGATTTCTCTAGTTTTGAATTTGGTGTATAAAATATCATTGTTTATGGAGATAATTAAATTCCAGAGTTTGGAATTACTTTCGAATTGGAGCTCCGGGTTAATATGCTAAATATATTCACTGCAGCACTCTTAATATCAGTAACTGATGCTCCAGTTTTTGAATTGTATAGAGATTTAAAAGATATCTCCTAAATGATTCCTTAGTCTTTAAATTCTACTATTATTATTTTACAATCTCTTCTTCAATTTTTTGACAACGTGGCATTGGGAATATTTAATCTTCAATTATTTGTTTTGAATTTTGCTTACTTCTCCAGTGCCAGTTTGTGGTACTGTTGCTATCTGATTGTTGTACACTACAGCTTAAATATTAGAACAGTAGTAACTTAAATGTTTAGATGAACATTACTACTGATTTTGCTTTCTGAAACAATTGGTCATTGTTTATTTTTAGATTAAACATGCTGTTTTTAAGAGACTCAACTCCTGTTTAGTTTGGTTCCTGACATACTTAGAATGCCCATTGCAAAAAAAAAAGTTCAAAAAAGGTGGGGTAGGCCCTCAAAAGCTAGCACAACACCTTGGAGAATTTTGATCTTTGGGTTAATAATGGGAGAAAAGTCACCCCACAAGTAAAATTGACAATCGATGAGGAGCTGCTCCTCAGTGGGCTAACAAGTTAATTTGTGGCTTTATTATGAAATGTATTGTCATCCTTTTACTCCTTGCATGTGCAATCAGTTAGTTATCTAAAATTGTGAAAGAGATTATAGTGGCTGCAGAAATTTTCAATAAATTTCACTGTGGGTAAAATCTTTCCAGATCCTATGTTTTAAAATCATTCAATTTAGTGCTGATTTTATTTTTGAGTTTGTTTTGTTTTTGTTAGGTGGTGCTGTTATGTGATGCTTCATGCGGATCAGAATGGTGAAAAACTCCAGGCTTTGCTAAGGCTTCTGACAGAACTGCAGGAGAGAATACGAATTGTTGAGGCGCTTAGCACTGTTCCTCAAATGTACTGCCTTGCTGTTGTTGAGGTAGTAAGGCGGAAAATGTTCACTAAACATTATAGAGAGGTGTGTTTAATCAATTCTGGTCTAAATATTCATATAATAGTACTATGAATGTACAGCATTTAAAACTAAACTAATTAACTTTCTTTTAACTTTTAAGTGGGCCAGTGCTCTCGTAAAAGAAGGAAAACAATTCTATGAAGCAGAGAGGGTGAAAAGGGAATCCTTTGGCAAACTGTTCCGTAAGTTATTTTCTCCATTATTAAGATTCATTATCTGATTTCGAGGAATCTCTTACATTCCTTGTCCTAATTTTGGACAGATCATGGTTGAGACATTTCTGCTGTTTGGCAGGACTGCAGTGTTTTAGAAAACAGAATTATACCTAGGGAAGCTGACCCTCTGCTTCTCTATTGAAGTTGTTGTCTGCCTGAGTTGGAATAATAATGACCACATCTCCATAGTTGCTGCTCCCATGTGCGCTCTGCAGAGTTCCTGGCTCTGCTTAATGCTGCTTCCTACTACTGCACGTGATGTCCCTGGACTTGGGTTTGTGGAAAGGTAGCGACCAAGATTGGAAACTGGCGTTTTGGGGAAACGAGTGCCAGCAGCAAGTCAATGTCAGTTAAGCAGGCTATCTGAGAAGGCCAAAAGTAAGTGTTTTGATGTTCCTTTTGCAACACTGTTTTCAATCTACCTCACTGCGGTGCTTCGTCTCACTGCTGACAAGCTCCTGGCTGGAGTGGAATTAGCTTGCAGAACCTGCAAGAAATTATTCAATCTCTGCCACCTTTAAGTTAAAACCAAAGTCAGCCCAACCAGCGTCATTGAGCTGCAGCACGCAGATGATGCTCACATATCCACAATCTCGAAGGATGTACTCCAGAGCATTACTTCCAATACCTCAAATCCCGTCAGCCAAAGGAGCTATTGAAGAAGAGATCCCCCACTGCCTCCAGTGTGTTAGCGCGGCCTTCGAATGCCTGAGGAGAAAGGTGTCTGAGGACAACCAAACCAAATCTGACACCAAGATTGTGGTTTAGCGCTGTGGTGGTTCCAGCCTGTCTATATGGCTGTGAAATGTGGACTGTCTGCAGCAGGCACTTGCGTAGGCAGTGCATTCAAAACCCTGCAAATTCACTGGGAAGAAAGGGACTCAATAACACCATTGTCCTCAACCAGGCCAACATACCCAACATCGAAGCCAATTAAGGGTGGTCAGTGCTATGATGGGCTGGGTACGTCATACGCGTGACCGATTTAAGAGACTCCCCAAGCAAACGTTCTACTCCTAGCTTCAAAAGGGCTGGGGAGCCCCAGATCGTCTGAGGGAGCACTTCAGTGATACCCTCAAAGTCTCACGCTGAAGTGCAGCATTCCCACAGGCACCTGAGGATCAATGGCCCAAGACCCTCCAAAGTGGAGGGGGAGCAATTGGGAATATGTCGAGTACCCCCAGACATATTGTTAGGAAGAAGCAGAAGCCAGGCAAAAACAGTGAAAGGAGTGTGCTGCCACAACACCGTTTCTCTCCACCACCAACCCCCCACCCACCTCCGGCCAATGTAACAGAGCCTGCAGTAGCCACGTCAGTCTGTACAGCCACCTATGGACTCAACCTAAGCGTGGAAGAGAGTCATCTTTGTCTGTAAGGGGCCACCAGTGATGATGACAACTTCTTCAAATGTGCGATTTATTTTCAAAAGAATTTTTTTAACCCAATGCTGTTATCATTTTGTGCTAGCGTCAATGCCCACATGAAAGTTGGCAGGTGTAGTTTGAAACATAATAATGTGTTATTGCGTCTTGTTTATTGTTCAATCCTGCTCAGCTCCTGTGTGTTCAACTTTATAAAAGCAAATGTTGATTTCAAGGCGTATGGATATGTTTAATTGCAGATAGAAACAAGGCCAAGGACTGGGATCTCAGGCTGTGTTTGGACCCTCACAACTGCTTCTTTCACACATAAGCAATGATTTGTAAAATTTTAGTTCAGGTTTTTTTAATATTGTTCATATTATCTATTTCATCATTATGGGCTGCTCTTCCACTCCAGCTCTTCCGTATTTGGACAATATTGAGAAAACCAGGTGCAGAGAGGATGGTGAAGGAAGGGGAAACGAGTGAGGGGTTGAGTGGGATGTACAGGCACGAGTGAATCAATAGGGACTGTGTGTCAGTCCTGCCCCTCCAGCAATCCATCCTTAATCTCGCCCTTTACCTTCACCTGTTCTTTGACTTCACTGTCACTGTCACCCTTGCTTTAACTCTCTCTCCTACTTTCCGTCCCCTTCCCCTCTGCTGCCGCCTCCTCGCCTCATAATGGGCAAACACCTGCACAGATGCTGAAACACATCAAAAGCTTTAACGTTTGTTCATGCACATTTGACACTTATTTAAGCTAAATGATCATTCGCTGTGATTGAAGTCAGGGTTGTTGATTTGAAGGATGTTGTGAGCATGTCCTCCCTACATTCGACATTGCTTTTTTTAAAAAATTTATTTTTCTTTAAACTAGTCTGTTCAGAGAGGATAGTGTACCCCTCTGGAGCAAGTGGAACTTGAACTTGGACCTCCTGACTCAGAAGTAAGGACACTACCACAACAGCCACTGCACCACAACATGTACTTACAAATATTGCTGCGTACTGATTAGATGCACCATGGCTGACCTATCTCTCATTTCTCTCAAACCCTATCTTGCCCATCGCTCCCCGCCAAAAAGAACAGAAATCTCTATCTGGTGTTGTGACTAATTGCTTTGTCCTACTACTTGGCATGAACTGGAATTGAACTGTCTGTTTCAGCAGTGGTTATCAAATTCGCTTTAAATGTGAATGGGTTCTGGTTTGAAACCAGGTAGAAACACTTGTATTTTGAAGAAGTGATTTTTGATTTCAGACTCTTGGGGCACTGTAATAGTGTCTCTGTCATACCATCTCTGAAGAGGTTGATTAGAAAATATCCAGAAGCAGTTTTCTGGGGGCTGTTGTGATACAGTAGTAATGTCCTTGCCTTTCGAATCAAGAGGTCAATGTTCAAGTCCAACAGACTTGGTAGGCACGTGATGATGGTTTCTGAACAGGTTGGTTAGAAAATGCCTAAACTGTAACCAGTATTAGGAACGCCTGGTATTGTCTCCGCCTCTATGCCAGAGCACCCAGGTTCAAGTCCCACCCAACCCTGAAGTGTGTCATTAAATGTTCAAACAAGTTGATCAAAAATAAACTGTAATTGAAATGGACTCCCTGGTGTGGCTTGCTCGTCATAGGTGAGCTAGATGAGACTGTCAGAGGGTCTCTTTGCTCATGCTGCTATTAATGTCTTTGTACATAAAGCTTCATGTAAATTTGTGAGGAGTTTGTGCATCAACTGTATATTTATACTGAGGTTTCTTCTCTCACAGGAAGATCGTTTCTTAGAAATCGCTTGTTTAAGGGGCTCGACTCATGGCCACCATCGTCCTTTTGTGTATGTATGCATAACTTCTGTCTGAAGAATCAGTATATTAAATTTTGCTAGAACATTGTAAATGGTTGAGGTTCTGCACCAAGATTTTTTGCATTTTTTTAAAAAGGATGTTTGAATCATAAATCAGAAATTTCCCTTTTGGATTTCTTCACCTTTTTGTTCTCAGCTAAATCATAAGAATCATCATAGAATACTTAGTGTGAAAACAGGCCCTTCGGCCCAACAAGTCCACACTGACCATCAGAGCACCCCCGCCCCGACCCATCCCCCTATAACCCACCTAATCTACACCATCCCTGAACACTACGGGCAATTTAGCATGGCCAGTCCACCTAGCCTGCGCATCTTTGGACTGTGGGAGGAGACTGGAGCACCCGGAGGAAACCCACACAGTCACTGGGAGAATATGCAGACTCCACATTGACAGTCACCCAAGGGTGGAATGCAACCTGGTTCCCTGGCGTTGAGACAGCAGTGCTAACCACTGAGCCATTGTGCCTCCGGTCAGAAGTCCACACGGAGTGGTAAACGGTCACTATGAACTATTATTGATCAGAAAGGTTAGCTGTCCAATTAACCATAGTGGATGAGCTTTTTGCCCAGTCATGGACATTGCTTATGTAGAGTCTAGAATTCAAAATTAATTTGGTAGTGATTGCAAAAGCAGCACTTAAATTTGTCATGGGATCTCAATTATACAGTTAACTGTTCACTTCTTTAATTGAACATGGTAATTTAAATTACTAATGTGCTAGTATGCAGCGCTGACTGCCAGAGCACAATCTCAATCAATCTGTAATTCCTTCCTAAACTACTGATATTAAAATGTTTTAACAGCCAAATTTGGTATAGTTTTGCCAATATTTAAGAGTGACGACATTTCAATTCCAGAAATTTGATGTTGTGAATAAATGAGAGATGCACATTTCCTTTTCTACACTGTTTTCTAGCAAGGCAAAGCTGAGGACTTCTAAAAACTTACTTAATGTAGTCTGTGGTAACCATCCTCTCATTACCAGTGATACTGATAATGCAGGATAGCTGGCTCTTTAGTATAGGAAATCTTAAGGCACCATTGCAAAGATAAATTGAGATTGTCACTCCTTACCCTTACCCTTACCAGTTGGTTTGCAATTCATTTTTTTCCATCATTTGCCACTAAAGTTGACATTGCAAGGGGCATAAGCACATTCCAAAATATTATTTTCAATGCGTTACTTAACACTAAAGCTTGAATGAGATGGAGAATGCATACAAATACTTCCATTTTAAGAATTGCATAATTGAGACTCTAAGGTCCATTATTTAATAAACCTGTTTTGCATCAATATCATTAAATTGTTAACTTTTATTGTTACAGACGTATAAGCCCCGAAAGTTTGACTTTGAGCTTCCTGATGTATCCTTAACTGACTTACAATTTCTGCAGTCTTGCTGCCCTTCAGAAGTTCAGCCTTTCCTCAGGTAATCATGTCATTGAGCTTGTAGTTTATGGCTTTTCCAAGGATATAAATTGACTGCATTAAAATTTTTTCTGTAACGTGAGCAGGCTTTTTTTTTTTTGTTTTAAAAATCACTTTTCTTTTGGTTCTGGTTTAACTGTGATATTTCATCTGAGGATGGAAAGAAACCAGAATGCCTTTGGTTGATTGTGTCAGAAACGTAACACCTATTTCTCAGGACATATCCCAGCTGCTGGGATATTACAAGACTAATTAGATCTCAGACTGTTTTTAAGCCATATTTCAAAGACGACAAAATGTGATCTAATATGAGGTGGCCTTTCACTGGAACACAAACATGCAGTGCTGTGGATTTGGGTTTAACAATAAAATAGAACTTTATCACGCAAAAGAAATTGAGACAAAATAAAATAAACTGAACTGTTTACATGCAACGCAAATTTAATTATTTCAAAACACACAGTTTTGTTAATACCCAAGCCCTCATTTGTAGTATTCGCACCAAAGAAGCCTTTTTAAAGTCTTCATACAACTGAAATTTAGACTTTCTTGTCTTTAAATAACTGAACACTTCTGACCGGGAACACTCAAACTAAACTCTTCATACTGATTCTCACTTTCAACAGTCCAATTTACCTTTCTTTTCCCCCCTTCAGAAACCACTGTTACACATCCAGCTTCAGCCAACTCCTACAATCTGTCCAAACTGAAACTTAAAAACTTTATTCTTGCCAAATTGTAGGTGTTTCCTAATTAGAAGGAAATTACTTTTTTGTTAAGCTGTACTTCAAAGTCTTCCACTGTAGTACATAATGGTTGAACACACAATTAAAACATGACTTGAGGTCATTATCACAGTTGTTTCCAGTCAACTACTGAGTAAGTGGTGCAACATCTGGAACTGAAAAAGATTGATGTACCTGTAGAGCAGTTTAGGTCTCAGATTACTTAGTAAGCAATTACCTGTCCAACTTGGTTGTTAATCATTTCAGATGGAAAAACGTACTGGACAACTATTAAATGTCCTTTTCAGATGACAATATTGAAATGCATTTAAACGCATTAAATATACTGAGTTTAAGGGAAAAATAGCCAAACTTGATTGGTGCTGTTATGCATAAGCATTTTATTTTGACCTATTCCTTTAGTCCAGATATTGTGCATAGGCATTCATTAACTTAGCTCAGAGACATAGCTGCTATTCTGGGTCAGAGGCAGGTGAGCAAGCTGACACAAAGGAAAATCTGTGATCTCAACCAATCATTCTGACATGGGAGGACGGACAGGTCAAGGGGGCAGGGACAAGCTGGGCTGGTTTTTGGATGCGGTCGGGGGAGGGGAGAGAGGCTTGGGGACTGCTTTGCGGAACACCTGCGCTCGGTTCGCACTAAACAACTGCACCTCCCAGTCGCGAACCATTTCAAGTCCCGCTCCCATTCCTCAGACGACATGTCCATTCTGGGCCTCCTGCAGTGCCACAACGATGCCACCCAAAGGTTGCAGGAACAGCAACTCGTATTCCGCTTGGGAACCCTGCAGCCCAATAGTATCAATGTGGACTTCACATCAAAATCTCCCCTCGCCCACCGCATCCCAAAACCAGCCCAGCTTGTCCCTTCCTCCCACCTATCCCCTCCTTCCACTTCAAGCCTCAGCCCCATCTCCTACGTACTAGCCTCATCCCGCCCCCTGGACTGACCTATCCCCTCCCTAACTTCCCACCTACACTCACCTTTACTGGCTCCATCCCCGCCTCTTTGACCTATTTGTCGTCTCCTCTCCACCTATTTTCTCCTCTATCCATCTTCTATCTGCCTCCCCCTCTCTCCTTATTTATTTCAGAACCCCCTTCCCCTCCCCCATTTTCTGAAGAAGGGTCTAGGCCTGAAACGTCAGCTTTTCTGCTCCTCTGATGCTGCTTGGCCTGCTGTGTTCATCCTGCTCTACACCTTGTTATCTCAGATTCTCCATCTGCAGTTCCTACTATCTCTGAAACAGTCATTCAGACAGTTGTGTCTGCTTGTGACAGTGTTGAATAGTCATTGTGCAGATGCAGTCCTGTCTCCACCATGAGGATATCCTCCATGGTGTTGTGTGGTGCTATGTCACTGTTAAATTGGGACACACTTCAAACAGATTAAGGAACTCTGAACTGGCCATCGGAGAGATATTGTGGGCTTTTGGCTGAATCAGCAGAATTGCATTCAACCACAATATATAATCTCAGAACCTGGCATACTCAGTACTCTACCATTTCAGTTGAGCTGGGCGATCAACCCTCATTCCATGAAGTTTTGATGCCTTGCTAGCAGCATAACCAAACATACCTAAAAATGAGCTGATGACCTGATGTAGCATTAAAACTGTTACGTGTGTGGTTAAACAAAGAAAACAGTATGCAGTGGACGGTGAGCGATCCCATAATCAATGGGTCAGATTTTAAGCTCTGCATTCTTGCCACCAGCCAGCTGTGAGAGGTGGTGGACAATTAAACAACTAACAGGAGCAGCAGGCCCACACATAATATATATTATTCTCAGTGGCTGGACAGGGGAGTCCAATACTTCTAGTACAAAAGATGAGGCTGAAGCAATTGCATCCATCTTCAGTTAGAATTGCTAAAAGAATGATCCATCGCTGATGCCTCCTTTTGGTCCCCAGCATCAAAGTTTTCAGTCTTCAACCAGTTTGACTCGCGCCATTTGACATCAAGAAATGGCTAGAGGTACTGGATATCACAAAGATTACGGACACTGACAACATTGCAGCCATAGCATTGGAGCCCTGCACTCCAGATCCAGATGAGCCGCTGGTAAGCTGTTCCAGTACAGGAACAAACCTGGCATCTACCTGACAAATGAGAAAATTGTGCCCAGGTATGTCCTGGGATCTACTGCAGTTAGACTGTAGTTCCCACTGTTGCTGAGACAAAATCTGATAGTCTTTCTCAGGGATCTCTGCTGTTTGTGGTCTACATAAATGATTTGGAGAAAAACGTGGCTGGTCTAATTAGTAAGTTTGCAGAAGATACAAGGATTGGTGGAGTTGTGGATGGTGAGGAGGTTTGTCAGAGGATACAGCAGGATATTGATCATTTGGACGCATGGGCAGAAAAATGGCAGGTGGAGTTTAATCTGGACAAACGTGAGGTGATGCATTTTGGAAGGTCAAGTACAGGTGGAAATTATATGGTGAATGGCAGAACTGTTAGGAATATTCCTATGCAGAGGGATCTGGGTGTGCAGGTCCACAGTTTGACTGAAGGTAGCAGCGCAGGTAGGTAAGGTAGTAAAAAAGGCCTTATGGCATGCTCGCCACCTTTTGGAAACCGCATTGAGTATAAGGATAGGCAAGTTATGGTGCAGCCTTAGAACTTTAGTGAGGCCATACATGGAATATTGCATACAGTTCTGGTCACCACGCTACCAGAAGAATGTGGTGCTTTGGAGATGGTATAGAAAAGTTTACCAAGATGTTATCTGGTGTGGGGGATTTTCAGCTATGAAGAAAGGTCGGATAGACTGGGCTTGTTTTCACTAGAAAGTGGTGGGGGTGCGGTTTGCGGAGTTCAAAAGAGATGCGAGGCAAGTTTTCACACAAAGGTGAGTGCCTGCAACGTGCTGCCAGAGGTGGTAAAGGAAGCAGACACAATAGCAGCATTCAAAAAGCACCTGGGCGAATACAGGAAAAGGAAGGGAATAGAGGGATATGGATCCTGTAAGTGAAAGCCATTTCAGTATGAAAGAGCAAAATGTGTCGGCGTATGCTTGGAGGGCTGAAGGGCCTGTTCCTGTAATGTATCATTCTTTGTTTTTTGTTCTTCTAATTATTGGTGGGGTTGTTGCTGGTTTCCTGGCTGGGGGAAATGGTACTTTTGCAAGCGTTACGTTCAGTTCATGTATGAAAAAATCCAGTGGTAACAATTTGAGTGACTGAGGCGGTAGTGCGGTCACTAATAGATTAGTTCGATGCCAGGTTGTACCATCTGTTTGTGATAGCGTTTCCCAAATACATCGTGGCCATATGGCTAGTTATGCATTTCCATTCTGCATGGGGAAAATTGCTTGAGTTTAAATAATGTTAATTGCCTATCTTTTTGTACCCTTCCCTTATGCTGCTATTATAGAACGTAGAACTGTACAGCTCAGGCCCTTTTGCTTACGATGGTGTATCGAACATGACACCAAATTAAACTAATCCCTTCTGCCTGCTCCTGGTCCATATCCCTCCATTCCTTGCATAATCATGTGTTTATGTAAAATTCCCTTAAACATACCTTTTTCGTATCTGCCTTCACCATCACCCTGGCAGCACGTTCCAGACTCTTACCACTCTGTGCGTTTTAAAATAGAAATAAAAACAACTTGCTCCTCACATCTCCTTTTGACCCCACCCCCCTCCCCTGTCACCTTTAAATGCATGTCCCCCAGTATTAGACATTTCAACTCTTGGAAAAAGTTTCTGACGGTCAACCCTATTTATGCATCTCAATTTTATACACTTCTATCAAGTTTCCCCTCGGTCTTCGCCGCTCCAGAGAAAACCACCCGAGTTTTTCTAGAGATAGTAGGAACTGCCGATGCTAGAGAATCTGAGATAACAAGGCATGGAGCTGGATGAACATGGCAGGCCAAGCAGCATCTGAAGAAGAAGGGTCTAGACCCGAAACGTCAGCTTTCCTGCTCCTCTGATGCTGCTTGGCCTGCCATGTTCATCCAGCTCTACGCCTTGTTATCCAAGTATTTCTAGCCTCTCCTTTATAGCTCATACCCTCTAATCCAGGCAGCATCCTGTGAAACCTCTTCTGCACTCTCTCCAAAGCCTCCATATCCTTCCAGTAATGTGGTGACCAGAATTGAACTCCATATTCAAGTGCAGGCAGCCCAGAGTCTCTTAAAGCTGCAACATGGCATCCTAACCCGTGTATTCAATTCTCCAAACAATTTAAAGGCAAGCATGCCGTATGCCCTTCTTTGCCATCCTATCTACTTGCATGGCCAC